TCGTAGTTGATGGTCACATTATCCTTATCGAATCGGCCTCCCTGACTGGGTCTGGGAACTCCAGTGTGGGAGCGTGACAGCAGTGATCGATCAGCTCTTCGCTCTTCTGCCTCGACCCATGGAGCTATAACATATAAGGTCACAAGGATGGAAAGATATAACAAGGGCCTACCTAAGCCTACTGATGGATTTGAAACCAATGCAGATCGCACCAGGCTAAATCCATCATGCATCACGCAATTGTCGCATCAATGTTTTAAATAAGCACGGTGGCGGGAGTCAGTGCCTGCTGTGCGTACTTGCCTTCGCATGTCCATAAATTACAATTCGAAGTCAGTCTTTTCATCTATATCGCTCCTAGTTTTTTGTAGGGTAAGCATCGATATGTGATGTATGTGTCCAACTACTAGACACGATGCTGAGAGTTCAACGGAGATGAAGAAACTGCGCATATGAGATTTAGGCGCCTGATTGCACAGCCAGTGCTCGAGCTATGAAGCGAACACGAGGATACAGCATGAATGGTGGGAATTTCGACAGGACTTTCCTCCTGTCCATTTTACAAGCCGTCCACTCCATCGGAGCTTTCATTTCGCAACGGTGACGGCGAAGTCCCTATGAGTACATATTCGTATGACTTTCCAAGGTAGCCTGAGGAGCTGAAATTACCACGCTCGTTAGGTAAAGTCCGCGAGCAAGAATGACGCCTTCCCCTTGTCGTGAAGCAAGAAACGTCAACAAGAGCGCCCCACTAAAAGATAGAAGGACACGTCAGCACCGTCTATGGCCGCTTTTTACGCCTGCCTGGACTTGGAGAACGGTACACAGGTCGGAAAGGCCTAGGTAATGGAGGAGACGGGAAGAAAGTGGCAAGGGGGAGTGAAGATGACACAGTTGTATCCTCGGAATCGACATGGGCAAGGCCATAAAAAGTGGACGGGGCACGCAAAGGTTGAATTGTGGTCTGTCTGCTAGGGTCCAGGTGGCGAGCAAGAGACGAGCGGATCGTTTTACGGAACAGTCGGAATGTGGAATGTCGGGAGCGGCGAGACCATCCTTGGACCAACCGATGCAAGGAACGACGGTGTGTGAGCTGTTTCACTGAATAGTACGATGATCGCAACGGACGGGCGCTCGCGCTAAAACCGGTAAAGATGGACTGTGTCGGCTGTACCGCACATCGCGGCTCAAGCGCTCAGAGCGCTCAAGGTCAAGAAAGGAATTCGACACAGCCACCTGGACAGAAATCGCAAGCAAAGCTATAATGACATAAGTCAATGCACCAGAATTTCACTGTCTCGCATTCTCGCAAGCGTACGTACCTTGTGACAAGACAACGCGACTATGGAGCCTCAACAGCAATATTAACAAATCTATTGTACCACCACCATGAAACCTAGGTGGAATCTGCGGCCTTTTCTACGGGTGACTCGGGAATGTCACCGGCTGCTACTACGACAACCACATATACACGGCGATACCCTGCCGATCCAAGGTGCTCATCGAATACGCTGAGGATAAGGATTAGTACGTGGCTTATAACTGAAACATTCCTCTCGAGCAGTATAATAGTGTTAGTTCTCTACCTCCCATAGGCAACGTGACCATCACAGCACCGCACCACCCTCCTCGGTCCCTACCTCTCTAATCTGAACCGAGCAACTGAACACGACACCCGGTCTTCATCGCATACCGCTAGGCCCGGGTCGCACTTCGTCTCTGGCATGCTACGCACAGGAGATGCATCAGACATCGATTAGCGAGAGCCACACATAATCGACATCCTTACACTGCCACCAAGCATGTACGTTTCTCGGTTCTTCTTGATCACTCACTCGTTTTCATACAGAGGAACTATAACGGGAGAAAGAGGACAGCTGCCGGCTCCATCCGAGCGTCTCAATACTCATATCAACGCAGTATCATTGCAGCAAGCCACGATGTCTGCGGCACTTCTCGCTGTCACAGTGGCGACTAGAACACCGTCGCATCTTGACCATAAGACAAGCTGGATTCATTTGTTTCTTTATCTGGATTGATCGCGTGTCTATTCAATACACCGACATTCAACATCAGTGATCGTCGACATCTCATCTAATTGTACACGACCCCCATGTGTTCCGCCACTCTATTTATCTCCTGTTTGTTTCATCTTTTCCCTGACTCCCACCAGGCTGAGGAGTTTTTTGCGTTAGAGACGTGCGCATCTCTGTTGAAAAGCTCGGGTTTTCTGGCCGTTCTCGGTGTACATTCTTGTCAAGTCATCAATGACAAAGGTCAAAAGGCGAGTCGTGCAGCGTGGCGGTTGTTTGCACTCCATTATAGCCCCCCAACGTTCACGAGGGGCCTGTGGGTCCGTTGCCTTCAACAAATGCCCTTAATCATTCCAGTCTGCCAAGTGGTTACCATGATTTCCGAGTTTCAAAACCCTCTGATAAGAGTTGCGCACCTTCGATTCTTCGGTATTCATAGCCCTGTGGGCGCAATAACAAATTCAAAATTTGTTTCTCTCAAATGTTAGAGGTTTGAAACCTGCCTCAGATGTTTTTGTCTATGATCACACTCACATTCACTCATGATAGTTCCCTCGAAAGGTCCTTCCCAGTCATAGCCAAGCGCGGTCAACCACAGATTTGAAATCTGTTATTAGACCCCCGTGCCCGTTTCAAATCTGCCGCCATTAATTTTTGTTGTATTGCATTCATTCAATATCCGAGGGCGCTGGTTGAAACGTGCTGAGATCTTGTGATTATCACCCCTCTGCCCATCCAATGTTTACATTACCTTCAGCCCGATGAAGAATTCACACACAGCATCGGTATTTGGTTAGCATGCATATCCTACATGCATGCATGAAGTCTGAACTCAGCGCTCTGTACTGCTAGGCGCGCGCTAACTTGGAGCGAAATATCACTTTGTTCAACTGTCGCTTCTAGGCTGAAGAGACAGTCGTATTGATGATATTGACGTGGTACTACATATTATTTTCCCTCCTACACCGTGTCGCAGTAACTCTCGCTGTCGTCGTCGAGATATAAATTAAAGTTCCAGCGCTTATTTTAGAATTTTGCCGATGTGTCAATGGATGGGCTGTGTGAAACTTGGCAGGCTCCCCTGTGGCCGATTGGCCTGATCATCTCCGTGAAGCTCAAATGTAACCGCTCATAGTATGAGGTTCTTGATTGATTGCTGTATACTCATATCTTATTAGGTAGTTCGGGGGGGGGCAAGAGTATAAGAACATTGTTGATGCCCATTGCATCTCGCTAAGTCACTGCTCACTCAGATATTCAAGCTGCATAAAGCACACAGTTCTCTCGATCATACCATGTCGAACCATTTTTATAGCCATTCTAGCAACGGGTTGTCTGATTCCTCCACTGCGCCAGGACCTGTAGGTTTAAATTGTCAATATTATGATCACTGCATCTAATTAGCACCTTCAGGTTGCCCATTCTCGCGAAGAGTTATTCCAGTGCATGTGGGGTTATCCGCACGGGTTACACTGCAACGACTTGATTCGTGGTACCGATCTGCCTAATCACCTACGTGATATTCACGAAATTCGCGGGAAAGAGAGCGCGCGCGCCGAGTGCAGATGGAAACATTGTGGTCGGGAGTTCAACATTGGGAGCCTTTGCGAGCATGTGGAAGAAATGCACATGGGGATTGCATACTTCTGCGACTGCGGCAGCAAGTTCTCGCGCAGGGACACTCTTAGCAATCATAAGAAGAATTGCTCGGGTCAGCGGTGTATAGATGGGGGTCTTTCAGTATAGACGGACGCTGGGGCGTGCCCAGATGATTACTTCAACTCGTCTTGCGGTGCTTATTCGCTGTCACTGCTACAATTAGTGCTTCTCCAGATTTATGATTCGATGTAACATACCAGTATCAATGTCTTACATACACGTTTATTTACTCCTGTAGTAGTAAGTCCCCAAGTACGAAACCAGAATTCGCAACTCAATCTCACATCTAAAACACGAGGAATGCAATAGATGCAGGGCTTAGTTAGGGACTTAGCCTCGTGTCTGTGCAATGGGGGCATGACTCCATCGATAAACTCGAGTAACGGAAGTCTTGTCTTTCGGCTGCTAAGCGATTTGTTGATTTAGGTGGGATGCATGAGGTCCACTAAAGAGATTTCAATTCCTCTGGTCCAGAACAGCCCAATCTGTACGTACTAATGCAGTGAGTCCGAATGTATGTTTATGTGGTGGCACAGACCGAAATTTTCATGGCCTTTAATCAAGCCAAAATTCAACCCTGTGGGCCCGTCCACCGCGCAACTTGCCTGCAACTGCCGGTGACCCCAAAAAAATTTCGGAAGCATAGAGGCCCGATGGTCTCTAATGGAGGATATCCCCGTAGAATGTTGTCATTACTCGCTCCTCTGTGAAGCACTGTAAAAAGACGCGTTCAAGGGTCACGTTCCAATCAAGCGGGGAAGGTGTTTGATACTGTACGTGTACTTAGTACAACGGTGCAGAAGCGCATGATAATGCCAGAGCCGTCAAGGGACACGCGTGTGGTGACCTGATTGCAGCCTTACATAAAAAGGGCAATAAATCGAGTGTCTTAGATGAGAGAGGTTAATGCTGTGATGTATATAGGCTACGGTAGCGACTGCAGTCGCTGCTATCTCGTACAGCGGCAAGGTTAGGGCTAGCGATAACTCGCATGGTCTCCTAGGCATCTTCAGCGTGAAGTTCGAATTCGTTCCAGGTGCTGATTAGTAGTGGTGCCGCAGACGAAGGGTGACCGGTGACCGGTGAATCAGTGATACATAAGGCAAGTGACGAGACTTGAAGCTTGAAGCATAAATTGAACCCCAGCACGTGCCCGTAAATTGGCTGACTGATCAGTTTATGTAATGAGACTCAGAGAAGTGCAGATAGTGCATTGGAAGAAACTATGGTCCAAAACACTAGTATCCCGTACACGAAGTACCATTGAAAACCGATCAGATCTCTAATCTTTAGGGAAAAAACATGCGTCTACGAAATTTCCATCATTCTGATGTCCATGAGGTATCGAACAGAAGCCACATCTTTGACTTGTGCGATGATATCACGATCCGAAGCGACCCTCTTGTATTCTCCACGGCGCTGCCGCGCTAGCAAAAATGCGCGGAAAGGCTGCCCAAGGTGAACAAGCAACCGCAATGCTCGCGATTTTGAACCATCCACCTGTTTTACAAAAGAACGGCTAGATGAATCGTCTGACGGAGAAGGAGGTGGCGTCCAATATTCTTCCTCGCTTTCCGTATCGTCTAGCAAATCCGCAAAGTCTGATAGCTCGATGAGAGACCGATCCCAGGGACGAACAAGCACGAACGTTTGCTGAGGGGGCCTTGTCTGCGAGGACTGAACAAGCGGCTCGTTGGTGGTGATCAGCAGGTCATGAAGCCCGTCTGCCTTGACTTGGTATTGAGTCTCGGATGGACCGTAGCTCAGACTGACTTCTGTGACACGGAATGCTATGCAAGGCAGATACAGTCTGTAGCTCACGAAACGAGCAGCGCTCATGCAATCAAGCGCGTCGTGAAGTTTCGAAGCCAGATCCAGAGCCACAGGATTTTTTCGCAGCGAAGAGATAGTTGTCTGAATCTGATCTTCGGACAAAGATGGAAGGGTGCGAGGAGGAGTAGAATAAGAGGTGATATAGGCTGGAAGACAGCTATTGAACTTGGACGCTTGTCCGACCCAATCGAGGACAGTGATGTCGCCCGACCGAGCCACGATCTCCTGCAGGAGTCTCCCGAGCGCGTTCTGCTTGTTCTCGCCATACATTACAGGTAAGTGGACATCGAATATACCAAACAATGAGTACGCGATGTCTTCTTGCAATGTAGTGATGCGTGACGATGCCCATTGAAGTCTCTGTCGAGCGTCACTCATCCCTGGACGGAAGGAGATTAGGGTCCGTGCATCTATGCCCGTCACATCCTCCAACTCCTTCATGATTGCAGGAGATTCTTTGTGGTTGGGAGAGCGATCGTTGAGATATAATGACCAGTCCTTCTGATAAAAGATTACGACTTTCGGAGCGACCAATTCTTGAAAGGTCCATGCTCTCTCGTTCCAAACACTCTGCGCCAGTGCACCGGGCTGGGATGAAGGAGGGACATCATATAGGTAGACGATGGTAAGCGCTGAGTGACGATACCATACGAACATGGAGTTGATTGATTCTTGGACCTCGGGATTGCTATTCTTGTCGATGCAGCATGTGTCTATCCAGGCCCAGTGATATCCAGCATCACGAACGATTTTGCAGAATGACTGTAGTTTCGTGATGCCACCAAGTCCATTCAACTCGTACACGACTTTGTCCTGAATGTCGTGCAGTAGCACTTCCGTCTCTTCCCACCTGTGCGATAGCAGGACGCAGCGGAAGTATGTTGCCACCACGTCTTTGATGCGTTCCGTTTGGAGGTCTGAATGCTTCGTTGTAGATGAAAGAAGCTCCTTGTACTCTGAACTCATTTTGAAGGAGTTTGTCTGTGCCGCTCGGTTGCACAAGAGACCCGTGGAAGTGTTAAGTAGACGAAGCGGGGCGTTTTCGAGTTCAATCCAAACAGCTTTTCGAATTAATGAATGAATGTCCCAGAACCTACTTCGTATCTGTGCTTCGGGAGCACTATCCAACTTGGACAACATGATTGTGAAGGCCTTAATGGCTTCGTCGTAACGTTGCGCAGCATGCAACGCTGTGTATGTTAACTGGTATCCGACGTGAGAAGAAGAATTGAGTTCGGTAACCTATGCATTGCCGAAGTTAGCATGGACCACGAAAGCATAGACGTCATCGCACCTTTTGCACGTCGAGGAGCGCATCCTTCCATAGCATTTAACTTAACTTTGCCCTGTTGCAATTTGCAAAGACGACATCGGATGCAAAATCCAGATCGATCACCGCTGAGTATAGGTCAATAGCCCTGTTATACTCGTTTGCAGTGAGGGCAGTATCTCCGTTGACAGCACAGAGTACGCTGCATTCTTGCTTGAAATCTGATATAAATGTAGGTGAGGATTGTAGCCTGCATGACTTTATGAAATCCAAACTTGCCGTTGGACCAGTTGGCCTTTGTATACTCATCACTCAAAACCATCATGTATCGGTATGATCTCACGGCATCTTGAAGTTTACCTGCCAGAAGGAGTGCATGACAATTTTCCTGGTGTGCAGTGAGCCACAACGATTTCAGGTCCCAGCCGAAGAGCTGAACAAAGGACTTTGTTATGAAAAGTGTTTCGGATGTGTATTGACGTACCACCACTAAATCCTCGTAAATTTCATGAATGTCCGATTGCGATGAGAAAGCGCTAGTGTTGACAGCAGCAGTGAAACTGTCAGCGGCCTCATCGTAACGCGTGCCATCCAAGGCTTTTATTCCGAGTTGAACACGTAGATATGCCTAATGTGCGAAGTTGCAAATCTCAGCGTTGAAAGTTAATGGCCCAGTGTGGATGATACTTACTTGCATGATACCACACGCGAGAGTGTCGGCATTCGGACAGCCAGTAGCAAGGCGTGGTCCCAGTCATGTTTTCATTACGAACGAGCGATGGGCGTAGGAAATATGGTCGTTCGTATTGGTGTTTATTTCTTGCGTGAGGAGTTCTTCAGCAGTAGATAAGTCTCCATTTATGCATGCAATGCGGGCTGTCGTGATAGCTAGGATCTGCACGAAACACGCTCGAGTTGTGGTATACAAATCAAGGACGGAAACATGCCTTTGGATGAATACCCTGAGGTACCCACTCCGAGATTTTCTTATGTCCACCTCCGTTGAGGATGTGCTTGTCGTCTACGGAGAAAGTGACACATGTCGGCGATGATGAGTGCTTGAAGATGGTAATGGTCTGTCGATCTAAGCGCTGCCAAAGACGGACATCATTGTAATCAGATGCGGAGGCGACGAGCGTGCCAGCAGTATTAACGGCGATGGTATTGATAGATTTAGTGTGACCTGACCATGATCACCGACCTGCTGCCAGGTCAATGCATCCCATTCGCGTAGGGTAGGATCGAAATCATTGCCGCCTGAAAGAAGGTGTGTGCCATCGGGCATCCGTGCGAGTGAGCAATTGTATAGTGTATGACCCTTGAAGCTTAAAGGATGCGACGCGTTTCCTCGTGCCTGGGAGTCTGAAACAACATTATAAATTTCGATAATATGGTCAAATGTCGCGATGGCAAGAAGTTCTCTAGATGGCGAATACCGTACGCAGCGGACTGCACGTGATTTGACTTCCTTCTTCCAAGTTTTAGTTTCGTCATTCCGTCGCCTGAACCAGTGACCAGCACGGTTCCATCAGGAGAAAAGTCCAGCGAGGAGACACAACTGGAGTGGGCTTTGATGGGTTGGGTGAGTGATTCGCCAGTTTCTCCGTGCCAAACAATGACCTCTCCGTTAAAATCACCACTTGGTATTAATTGCCCATCTTGTGATACAGCCAATCCCAATACCTCCGCGCTGTGCCCCTCCATCTTCTTCAACACAACACCTGTCTTCAAGTCCCACAGACGAAGCGTCTTGTCGATCGAGTCGGTAACCATCCGTCGTTCATTGGGGAACACTGCGACTGCCATTATGCGTTCTTCGTGGCCTTTGGACTTTTGCAAGGTGTAGTGATTGGAATGAGTTTGAGCTTCGACATTTTACTGGAGGTTGATGGCGTCGGGCGCGTGCTGAAGTAGTTTTTGGAGGGATTGTGGGTGTCTTTCTCTAAGCTGCAGAGGTGCGTCTATTGTGCATTTTGTGCTGCTTCACTGCGTCAATTTGTCTCGTTTCCATAGACGTCCAGGACAAAGGCCTCCACACCTTCATCACTGTTGTAGCAAGAATATGTATACTCTGTCGGCATACCCGCCATCCTTGACCCTATACCCTCCCAGCACCTCATACACGTGTCCAATTCCTGTCTCCAAAGCTTCCAGAACGTGTTCCACCATATCCAATCAAGCAGTTGGTGCTTCCTGGTTATCTGTCCTACTTTATCACATGAACATCATTATTTTTTTCCGTTTCGAGCAGCTACTCCAGCACATCACCATGTCACTCGTTCGAATGCACGCATATAGCTTACTGCAATACCACCCCTTCGTCGCGTCGACTCCCAAGACTTGTTTGGGCACCGGATGCAGCCAAAGGTCTCTCTTCTGGCATCTCAAACTTGTCATCAATTCTATCATGGAGGAGCGCTTTGCTTCCTAGTGCTCTGCTCATGATTCACCTTTGCTTTCAGCTTCGCCCACTCCCGCTCAACTGATCTCAGTTTTCTCATTCCCAAGTGCATCATCATTGGAATCCTGCACCACACCAGTACTAGTGCAACATGATCGTTAACGTTGGCAAGTCCTCACCACAGATGCTACCGAACCATGCGTTCAAAGGACTGTCATTGTGGGTGTTTTGGAATGTCTACCATAGACTCGATAGTCCCTATACCTGGGCCGCCGAGAAACCAAGTGAGTTTTCACACCAGTTCTTTTACCAATGCTTTCACCCTGATTATTATGTGACAGGTGCCGCACGATCGATCTTTGATCACATTTATTCTCGAATGTCATGTAGAATCTGATATTAACCTGAGTTGCAGTGCGCAAATACAATATAATGTGATCTTCACACCATCTTCTTGTTGTCTGGCAAGTGTTCCATCAGAGATCGCCATGTCATTAGCAGCGGGCACGAGATGAATGTGGTTGGTTGTGGATAATAAGCGAGATGAGCTCAGTGGACATCATCTGGAGCGACGAGGTAGATCGCAAGTTTTGTCAAAATGGGGCGTCTTGACCAGAGTGATGGATGCATTATCAGGTATCCGTGCTGATAATTTATCAGTAAAGGTAGCGGGAATACCTCATTGTAATGCAACCACTTTCGGAAATTTGCGACACGAGCATTCAAAAAGAAGAAACGGGGATCCGAAAAGACGTGCCAGCAAAACTGGATGCGCTGGACTTGACCCGAATTGGACGAGCCTTCCAATTGATATGAGCCGAGAAGTACTCTCTAGTGGCTTTGTCCTACACCTATTACCTCTTGAACTCAATCAACCCGGGTTCCTGGGTTGACCCTGATGGAAGGCTGCTACACGACGTCCAGGATATCGTGAATGTTTCCCGTGAATCGTGATTCGGGGAGTTGAAGGATGCACGAGCATAGATCTACGAGCACTCGTCCAATGGTGAGAGAAAAACTTCAATGGGTGTTGACGCGTGTCATGGTCACCTCGTTGCAGAAAGACTTGGCATACCATCGAGCATCCTCGGTGTCCAACCACATGTGAGAGGCTGTTGCAGGAGATCGTGTCAAGGCCATGCGACAGACACTTCTTCCCTGGGCTGGATTAGAACACCGTCCGAATTCAGTGAGTTTTCTTCCAGTCTACCTTACCCCGTACGCCATTCAATGCTACCATTCCTGTAACAAGATGAGATCCGAAACTTGATGCCTTGGCCGACAACGAGTGTTCCTCGTTCCGCGAACTGCTCACTGCGTTTGCCTTGCGTCGCATGCCTTGTCACAGAAGGCCAGACAGATCCATGCGTAACATCGGGAAACACATTTCACGTATGTTATCTGGGCAGAGGGGCTTAGTTGTCCTGTATTGGAAGCTCTGATGCAGTCATGGTCTCCCAATGTAGGACAACTAATTCCATTCTCACTCGCAAAGCCACTCCGCATATATTCATGCTTGTCTGCCCACCAGATCGATACGCCCTCGAGCTGCCTGTCCTTGTGGACGAAGCTCAGAAGATTGTTTCTCCGTGCCAGAGTTTTCGTTACACGAGTGCATCAGGCGCGCCGGTCCGTCTCGCTATCATTATTCCTGACGTAACAGCGCAGCGGGGAATACAAGAGAATCACACCAGATCACGATATTATCGGATGCATTCAAACATAGCCTGGCTCGCAGCATGATGAACGTCGACTGAGGACACTAGAGATGATGTGGTCATATGGTGAAGATTCGAGTTATGTGAGCAATTTCGACCTACCTTCATATCGTCTGCTGCCTCGGAATCACAGACACTGAAATCATAACTCACAGGTTCACTTACTCCGAGTCGGATCGACTAGACCGCCAATGCCAACCAGCTCTCTACGTGGCACTCGGCTACCACATTAACAACAATGCTTCATATACATTTATCATGAAGATCTAGACTTTAAAGCTCCGAGTTAGTGAAACACCTCGAGGGTGACTCATGTCACTCGTTCTCTTGTGATTCACGTGCGCATCATACTCCGCATACAAGGTATCGCATGATATTGTCTGATGCGCATGCTTGTAGGAGCTGACCAACAATCTCGGATATCTACGTGCGTATTATTATTCAGACTCGCTTCGGCATAGCTGGGTACCTCGAATCTCCACGTAAATGTACGGCGAGCGTACTGCGTATTACCCACGAGGCTATCAAGAGTGGTAGCGAGCATTCACACACCCTCGGATCCGATTGTTCGGGGAATGCCTAACTTCATGTGTCAGACGCGACAGCACGTGCGTGCATTCATTGAAACTGCCAAGACCTGCTGTCTAGGTGCAGGTAACGCCACTATAAATTATCGAGTACGTGGTATCGCAACGGTTTACCAAATATTCGGTTTGGTAAAAGAGCGGTGTACGAGATGCCTATCTGGTCGATCGATACGATACGGCCGATATCATCCATCGTGGCTCGCATATGCGCGCGCAACCACCGCAAAGGATTCAGCCTACTGGAATTGGATCCCCGGATGGCGAAGTGTCCAAGGTCCTCCTTCGCCTGTGTAGAGTCATGTTGCATAGGATTGCCTATCATATGCATGTTTCATTTCGTTTGCTGTATATTAATGCATCCCTAGCCTCGTGATATCAGCTACTCATACATATGAAGACGCGTGTATTCACGCAAGCACGGATCAAATCAGCCCCTAATATGTGTTTGCTGTGTTGTCTGATATAGCACTGATCAATCAGCCCCGACTCATACGATACACGTCAGCCTGGCATTGTGGCGGCATAGTGTCGGCATGTCTTTCATATTCCCAATATTTTCACTTACCGACGCTCTCAATGTACTAGATCCAGAAGTCGTATCCTCTCTTCACAACGGCCTATCTAGACCAAGGTAAGCGAGACATTAATCTGCCTTTTTTTCACTAATGATTCTCCTGAGCTCATCCTGCATATCAAGCGATCTCGTCCCCTTAACCAGCGAAGATTCTGACAGCGGCAGGCTGTGTGCCTAATTCCCTGAGAATCCCACAAATCGAAGGCAGCGTTGGTGGGATACTTCTGTTCTTTAGATGAACAGGATGTACGGCATTCCACAGCAATACTGTCAAAGTGCTGCGGAACGGGCCAAGTTTTTTTGATGTGTTGCGACCATCCTGTGAGTATGTAACCTTGCGCGCCATATTGGTTATTTCACCATCATATGACGGCGTATTGCCTGCTTATCGTGACCGGATGTCAGTTCAGGCGGTGTACGTTCCCCGCCGCGTCAGCATCCCTCCGGAAGTTCAGCCGCCGGGTTAGGTCTTTTACCACATAGCTTCCGAAACCTAACCCATAAATGGAAAAGACTTCCGCGCCACATCGCAACTCCACCCTTCGGAACTGGCATATTCCTCACCGGTTCCACCAATTTTTTAATGGCCAAAATCACTCAGCGCTCCTCCGCCTCATCCAAACCCCACGCAAACATTAAACTACATCAAATGGCTAAAATCCCGCCGGCAACGATATACTTGCATCATCAATCTAACGCTGAGGGGCTCAGATAGGCGCATGAGATCGGATGGAGCGGATATGTCGAGCTACGTTACTTCAGGCTCTCGTCGGGCGAAAATCCCTCTAGGATCGAAATGGTTCGCTGCCTGTGAGACAATGATCCGAGAGCCAGACTCGGGGTCCCATGCGCAATTACCTGGCACACGACCAACACAGCTAGAACTACTATCTCGTAAGCTTCTGAACTGGTCCCATATTTGCTCAAGAGTCAACATATGTTGACAGGGGCTTTTGATCCCTGCCATCATGTATGCACACGTCTCGAATTCTTCGAATTTTTACCTGCCATGCGACCAACGCAGCTAAATCTGCTATCTCGCTGTACTTCTGGCATGGACGTTACCTTCCTCACGTCTATGGTGACTTTGGCCACTCACTTTACATGTATTCGTCTGCAAATTTCCGAGCTTGTCCCTGGTCGAATGAATTTCTGACCATATCATGTCACCAAATCACCTCTTGGTCGAGGTGCACGCCCTCTCCTCTTGACAACCAAACTTCAGGGTCCTAAAGCCTCGCGATTAGTACATACTTGGCGCACGACCAGCACCTATCTTTAGCACGCGCCCCGAGGGCCTCGAGAGCCGAAGTCGACGACTCTTCCGTTAACACGCCCGTCAACTCGTAACTCCTTAACTCCGCTAGCGGCTCGACTTTACAGCAATGGCTGACCACGTCACGTTACCAGTTCATGTATCATGATTCAGTAACGTTACCGCGCATGCGATCTACACCACTAATGTGCTATCTCGTGCGCCTTCCGGCGAAGCACTGACAGTCGGTGACAACTTACATTCCTTACCC